ATAGAAGTTAGGCTTCTAGTAGGATCAGGATTGAGTTGGCTATAAAAGAGAGGCGTCTCCATGGGTCTAAGGTACGCAATTTTATGCTTTGAGTAGTGAGTTTAGCACTTGATTATCTTTGAGAGATATACTGACTTGATCGTCGGAGTGCCCCCGGGTGGAAGAGCCACCGCCGGAGCCTTTTCTTTATGTTACAGGTTAGTTGAAGCTATCTATTCTGCCAGTGCTCTCCAGTTGATTACTAGGCGGGCAGTGTGGTCAGAAAATTACCCACACAATTTGGCGCTGTCTGTTGGAACTTAGAAGAATAGATGGCCAGTAACGGACAAAAGGAAAACATTGGGGGCAACACTCCTGCTGGGAGTGGCAGACCAATTGACCTTGACGTTGAAGGAGACAATCACAATGCAGAAATTCATGACCAAGGCCACGGTGAAAAAGACGTCGGCCAGGAGGGCGATACTTCGAAGAAGACAGACCAAGGCAAGTACTATCATGAAGATAACCTTCAGGTATGGAGGGATAGGTGCCTACGGAGGGATGAGGAAGTAAAAGAATTGGCAAACAAGTTGGCAGACCTATAGTCGGTCGTCAACTTCATATGCAAAATAATGTCATGGAGCCACCATACCCGCTGCAGGATACGCCGATGCCCGCAACTAATACACAGAAGAGGGGAAGAAGAGCAATCCCCGAAGTCCCTCAGCACACCAGGAGCGGAAGGCACTCTCACCGACCTTCCAGGGAAGTCAGACAAGAGGAGCCAAGACGAGAGGAGTCCCAAAGGACGTATCAGACAAAGGACCCAGAGCCTAAAGAACATCGACATGTTCAAGGGTAGGCGCTCTGCTTTGACACAACACATGGAGAAAGATCAAAGAGAACCCACCACGAGGCTGAAAGTAGTGTGCCAAAAAGATTGAAGTCCAAAGATAGCCGAGCTCCAGGAAGGAGTAAAGAAGACTTGAGAGATTACCTCAAGAGCAAACAACAGAATGCTGAAGCCGAGGTAACTACCCCGGTTAAGCCAAAGACACCATTCTCAGTGGAACTGGACAAGTTTCAAGCACCAAAGAGATTCAGTATGCCGAGGTTTCAAATATATGATGGTAAGTCAGATCCCAACTTTCACGTTGGGCTATACCTGAATTCGATGGCATTATATAGTGGGAACGAGCCGTTGCTCTGCAAAGTATTCCCCTCGTCCTTTGGGGAAATTGCATTAGATTGGTTCTATAAACTATCGAAGGGAAACGTAAAGACTTGGGAAGGCCTGGCCGAGATGTTTGTGGCCAGGTTTGTGACAAATAAACTTCAGCCCTTGAGGGTCGACGCATTGATGGCTTTAAAGATCGCCAAGGATGAAGGCCTTAGGGCCTACGCAAAAAGATACTACGAGGTGTTAAATCAAATACCTGATTGCAACCAAGAGGTGGCGGTTGTGTCCTTCAAGAACGGCCTGAAAGATGACTGCCCATTACGGAAATCTTTGGCAAAGACGTTACCAAAAAGCATGGAAGAACTCATAGCGAGAATAGAGAAGTACGCCAGAGCCGAGGAGGATACATCGGGAAATAAAGAAATAAAGCAGGAGAAAGGAAACGGCTCGCCGAAGCGAAGCCGAGGTAACAACGGACCGGCCAAGCAAGAAACGGACTTGAAAGCGAAACAGGCAGTAATGACTATATTCCGAGTCCCGATCCACAAAGTCTTGGATCAAATACGAAACCAACCCTATTTTAGAGGACCAATAAGAACACCAGGGGAATTCATGGAAAGAAACATCGGTAGGCGTTGTGCTTACCACAATGAAGAAGGGCACCCAACTCAAGGCTGCAGAGCCCTAAAAGTACACTTAGAAGACTTGGTAAGGCAAGGACATCTAAGAGACCTTGTTGATGAGGCCAGGACTAGAGAAGAACATGCAAGATTGCCTCAAGCACCAGCAGCTCCGCCTCCCCCAGCACAACAACCACCCGCAGGAGGACCACGGGTGGTTAACGTAATTCACTCAAAGGTGAACAAAAACGACATACGAGGGGAGACCCAGAAGGTAAAACACCTGCAGCACATGAGCCAGGTTGGACATAAACGACCTCGGCCTGAAGAATGTCAGGGACCGACGATAGCGTTTACTGAAGCCGACCTAGAGATGGTCCAGCATCCCCATAATGATGTCTTGGTAGTATCCCTCCAGGTTGGGGAGTGCCAAGTGAAATGCATCCTGATTGATCAAGGAAGCTCTTGCGACATCATGTACGTTAAATGTTACAAAGAGTTGGGCCTTCATCCTGATGACTTGGAGCAATCAAATGGCCCGATGGTTGGCTTCAATGAAACGTCGACGTGGCCACTAGGCGCAACAAGCTTGGAAGTACAAGCCGGCACTAAGAAGATTAGGACAGAATTCGTGGTGATTGACACACCTTCGCCATATAACATCATCTTGGGAAGACCATGGTTACATGCAATGGGGGCAGTTCCCTCAACATTGCATCAACTACTACGATTCCCAAGAGAACATGGGATTGAAGAAGTCAGAGGAGATCAACTGCAGGCAAAGAATTGCTCCATGGCAGCAATGAAATCCACCCGCAACATTCGAGAATCAGAAAAGGTAGAAATTAAAGATAAGGACGTGAAAGTCCTGGAAGACGTCGGCAAAGAACCAGCCGAGAAGAACGAAGAGGCGCTGAAGAAAATCCTCGTTCAGGATGGGGATGAAGAACGCTTCTTTCTTCTCGGCTCGGGCTTGGCCGAAGAGGAAGAAAAAGAGTTGGAGACTTTTTTAAGAGCCAACATAGAGGTGTTCGCCTGGACACCTTACGAAATGCCTGGCATTGATCCCGAGGTCACTTGCCATAGACTGAATATCGACAGGTCGGCAAAACCTGTGATTCAGCGAGCCAGAAGACCGACGTTGATGCACGTCGAAGCAGTAGAAGAAGAAGTGGACAGACTTCTAGAGGCCAGGGCCATCCGAGAAGTTTATTACTCGACATGGCTATCCAACACAGTAGTGGTAAAGAAGAAGAACGATAAATGGCGGGTCTGCGTAGATTTTACAAGCTTGAACAAAGCTTGTCCCAAAGACTGCTTTCCTCCACCCAAGATTGACCAGTTGGTAGACGCCACATATGGACATGGAAGGATGAGCTTCCTGGACGCTTACAGAGGATACCACCAGATAGCCATGTACCCCCCAGACAAAGAGAAGACTGCGTTTATCACCCCGAAAGGACTGTATTGTTACAAAGTAATGCCTTTTGGGTTGAAAAACGCAGGAGCAACTTACCAAAGGTTGGTAACCAAGATGTTCAAAAATCTGATTGGCCAAACAGTGGAAGTCTACATTGACAACATGGTAGTAAAGACCAAGGATCCAAAAGGTCATCTTGCCGACCTAAAAGAGGTCTTTGAGATACTCAAAACATACCGGCTCCGACTCAACGCATCAAAATGCGCGTTTGGAGTTGGATTAGGTAAATTTTTGGGGTACCTGGTAACAAGAAAGGGCATTGAGGCCAGCCCAGATCAAATCAAGGCCATCCTTGAGCTAAAATGCCCAACGTCGGCAAAACAGGTTCAGATACTTACTGGAAGGGCCGCAGCCCTAAACAAGTTCATAAGCCGAAGCTCAGACAAATGTAAACCTTTCTTCAACCTGGTAAAGAAGGCCACAAACTTCCTATGGATTGAGGAATGTAAGGCCGTCTTGGCCGACCTAAAGAAGTATCTGACCACGGCTCCAGTCCTCTCAACACCTGAACCTGGAGAAAAACTGTTTTTGTACTTAGCCATTTCAGAACACGCAGTAAGTGCAGTACTAATCCGAGAGGAAAAGGGGGAGCAAAAGGCTGTTTACTATATAAGCAAAAGCTTGGCCGATGCAGAAACAAGGTACCTCTCACTAGAGAAATTAATCCTGGCCTTAGTAATGGCTTCAAAAAAACTGAGCCATTACTTTCAAGCACACAAGATTATAGTGCTAATAGAGCACCCGCTGAAGTCCTTGTTACAACAAGAAGACTTAACTAGAAGAATAGCAAGATGGGCAGTGGCCTTGGGCCAATACGACCTGGAGTTCAGGCCGAGAACAGCAATTAAGGGCCAAGTTTTGGCCGACTTCGTGGCCGAATTCACACCGGAATCCATCGAACATCAGGCTCCATTGAGCCGAGATGAACGATGTCCAAACAAGCAAGAAGAAGCCCAGCCAAAGACAAAAGAATAAGGAAAAGAAAAACTAAGACCCTGTAGCATTTACATCGGTGACTCCTTTCGCCTGTTTGTCGATGGGAGTTCAAACCGGCAAGAAGTACTTTTACAAAATAAACAACCTTTACAATAAATGTAAAAAATATGATCATGCAAATATGATATGCAGTACAATTACATTTAATATTCAACATGAAACTCAAACACTTTCAAATAAATACTATTGTGTTAATAATAAACCCATACATCATACATGTATTGTTATAGGAAATATCCCTCACGTCGACCACGATCAGGATGCTTTCAGTGATGAAGATATTCCAGATAATCGATCATTTATCCATAGGAGCTATCATAATTGTGCAAGAAATTTTCATGAAACTGAAAGGTTCCAAAGAATGCAGTTCCCTGCTCCAACTACATGTAGACATTGCAACGCAAGATTGTTCCACCGTGAAACATCTACCATGTGTTGTAATAATGGAATAATTGTTTTGCCACCAGTAACAGCTCCAAATGAGATGATTGATATTTTCTCTGACCAAATAGTTGAGGGTCATCATTTCAGACAACATATTCGAGCCTACAATCATGTTTTCTCATTCACTTCAATAGGTGTTCATGTTGATGAAAACTTACCAACACGAACTCGAGGTGCGTACACGTTTCGTGCATAAGGAGCCATATATCATAAGATTGGGAGTCTCTTACCAAATTCTAGCGACAAACCGAGATATTTGCAACTATATGTTTGTGATACTGACCATAAGAATGAGAATCGAATGTCTGAAAATGAAGAATTGCACTTGGATTTGCTTAACAAGATAAAGAATATTTTAAATGCTCATAATCCATTTGTACACACGTTTCGCCAATTGGCTCAGCGTCCAGACATACATGAATGCAGACTTCAAATCAAAGAGCAACCATGTAATAGGCCCCAATACAATCTTCCTACTGCTCCTGAAGTTGCTGCCGTTTTAGTAGGTGGTGAAGAAGTTGGAAATTTAAAACCAAGAGATATCATTGTCCAATCAACCAGTGGCACCTCCTAAATATTTCTGATATTGTCGGATACTATGATCCATTACAGTATCCTCTGTTGTTACCCTATGGTTCATATGGATGAGATGCAAATACCAAAAGTAATGATGGCAGAAAAGTAACATGTTGTGATTTCTATTCTTATATGCTATAGGTAACGACGTATACATAATATTAAAAAATTACTTTGTCAAAGTTATTTAATCTATAATTATTTCGTATAAAATCTTTACTTTTAATTATTTATAAGTATTCAAATACTGTCAATTCAGATTCGCCCTGGTGATCAATCTCTTTTTCTTCAAGGAGGTCGCCTCTTACAGCAGTACGTCGTAGATAATTACGTGAAGATTGAGTCTAACAAATTAAGATGGATACGTACTCATCAGAATCACATTCGAGCAGATTTTTATCAAGGTCTTCTAGATGCAGTACATGCTGGTGAAAATTATGGAGGTACAAATTGTCACATACGATATTACAATTACATGTACGCATGTTTGTTTATATTCATACATATATATATATATATATAACTATATTTCTCTTTTGTGAAATATTTGTTTAGGTAATGTTGGTCGTAGAACAATATTACCATCGTCGTTTGTTGGTAGCCCAAGAGACATGTATAAGAGATATCAAGATGCAATGGCTCTGGTCCAAAAGTATGAAAAACCTGATCTTTTCCTTACAATGACCTGCAATCCAAATTGGCCTGAAATTAAAGCTGAGTTGCTACTTGGACAGTCACCGCATGATCGTCCTGATTTGCTAACAAGAATATTTCATTCGAAATTTGATGAGATGAAGACTGACATTCTTACAAAACATGTACTCGGGAAGGTTCTAGCATATGTATATGTTATTGAGTACCAAAAAAGAGGCTTACCACATGCCCACATGGTCATTATTTTGGATGAAAATGATAAGTTACGCACTCCTGACGATTATGATAACATTGTCAGAGCTGAAATTCCAGACAAGAGATTAGAGCCTAGATTATACAGTGTAGTTCTCAAACACATGATATATGGCCCATGTGGAATGTATAATGAACGGTCTCCGTGTATGACAAATGGTCGGTGCAAAAGATGTTTCCTAAAGCCATTTTCTTCCATTACTACACTTGGAAACGATTCATATCCTATTTATCGAAGAAGAGAAGTGGAGTCAGTTCCTTTAGAGAGTAACCCAAGCGTCTTGGTGGATAATAGTTGGGTCATTCCGTACAACCCATGGTTGCTCTTGAAATATGATTGTCATATCAATCTTGAAATTTGCAATAGTGTTACAAGTGTGAAGTATTTGTACAAATATGTTTATAAAGGCCCTGACCGTGTTGCACTAGAAGTTCGTCAAGGTCCTAATTATGATGAAGTACAACAGTTCATAGATGGAAGATGGGTTTGTGCTCCAGAAGCATTGTGGAAAATATTCAAATTCCCAATGACCAAAATGACTCCTAGCGTAGAACGCCTCCAAATTTAAATACACTTACCAAATAAGCAGCAAGTGAGGTTTTATACGTTCCAAGACATCACAAATGTTTTAGGTGATGAGTATTACTCCAGAACAATGCTTTCCCAATTCTTTTAATTAAATGTTGATGATGAAACTGCAAATCGGTACTTATATCGAGAGATCCCGCAACATTATAGATGGTGTAACAGTGCAAAGATATGGCAGTTGAGATTGAACCATCAAAGAGTAATTGGTAGAATTTACACAGTTTCGCCATCAGAAGGGGAGAGATTTTACTTGAGAATTTTACTCAATCATATTCGAGGACCAAAATCATTCGATCATTTGTTAATGGTTAATGGAATTGCGTACCCAACTTTTAAACAAGCAGCTGAACATCATGGTTTGTTAGAGCATGATGATAGCATACGACAATGTTTGTTAGAAGCTGCAACCATGCACATGCCATCAACTTTAAGGAGATTGTTCATTACAATTTTGGTTTACTGTGTGCCAATAGGGGTGCGAAGTTTGTGGGATGAAATTTATCCTTACTTGATTGAAAATTACATATCTTCAAACAGTATGAATAATATGTATATCCTTAACAAAACCTTGCAAGATATAAATCGTCTCCTGCAACAGCATAATAAGAACATATCAGAATACGATTTGCCTGAGATGGCAATAAATTTGGATGATAATTCAACAGTTCCAAAGGTCATATAAGATGAGCTTTCCATTGTTACTCCTTGAGAAGACTTAAATTCTATTGCCACATTAAATAGTGATCAACACTTAGCATTTAATTCTATCATAGAGGCTGTGGAATGCAATACTGGTGCAATCTTCTTTGTGGATGGCCCAGGAGGAACTGGAAAGACATATTTATATCGTGCACTATTGGCCTCAGTGAGAAGTCAAGGTCGAATTGCCATTGCAATAACAACTTCTGGAATTGCAGCTATACTTTTACCTGGTGGAAGAACAACCCATTCAAGATTCAAGATCCCACTAAATCCAGAGGCTTCGTCCGTGTGTTACATTACTAAACAATCAGATTTGGCAGAACTGATTAGACGTGCAACAGTCATCATTTGGGATGAAGCTACAATGACAAATCGTTATGCTTTTGAAGCTTTGAATCGAACACTCATAGATATCACTGGTGTTGATTATCCATTTGGTGGCAAAATTATGGTGTTTGGTGGTGATTTTTGACAAGTACTTCCAGTTGTTCCTAAAGGTACAAAAGCTGAAACTATTGCTGCATCAATAGTCAAATCACCTCTCTGGAGTCACATTCAAATAATTCGTTTAAAGCAAAACATGCGCTCTATAAATGACCAACGGTTTGGTGAGTTTCTTTTATCCGTTGGAGATGGTGTGTAACCTACCATTATAGATGAAATGATCAAAATACCAACATCGATGGCAATACCATGGAATGACGAAGAATCAATAGTTCGACTATTAGAAGAAATTTATCCTAATATCAGAAACCATTCTTCTGACGCCGAGTATATGGTTAGTAGGGGCATAATAACTCCTCACAATGAAGATGTTGACAAGCTCAATGAGAAAATCATTCAGAGATTTCCGGGAGAATCAAGAGTGTACCACTCATTTGATAAAGTTGAAAATGATACCCAAAATTTGTATCAACAAGAGTTTTTAAATTCCATTTCACCAGGAGGAATGCCCCCACATGCATTGCATTTGAAAGTTGGAGCCCCAATTATGTTTTTGAGGAATCTTGACCCTTCTTCTGGTTTGTGCAATGGCACAAGGCTATTATGTCGAGCTTTGAACGATAATTTCATAGATTCAGAGATTTTAACAGGACATTTCGAAGGCACGAGAGTTTTCCTGCATCGCATTCCATTAAAGGCTCCGGAAAACTTAAAACTTCCATTTGAAATGACTCGCACACAATTTCCAGTTCGCCTTAGTTTTGCTTTGACGATAAATAAATCACAAGGTCAAACAATTCCACGTGGGAATTTACCTTCCGGATCATGTGTTTAGTTATGGACAACTATATGTTGCTTTATCTCGAGGGGTGTCAGATCAGACAACGAAAGTCTTGGTTAAAAAGGGTTCAGTTAATAATGAAGAAGGAGTGTATACCCGCAATGTAGTCTATAAAGACGTTTTGTTACCAAATTATTGATACAGGATGTATGTACAAAATATATTCTTATTGAGCGTATATTATGTCATTTTTTAAATCTACATTTAATATACTTATAATATATCTTCGTATAATTATTGATTGAAGGAATACTTGAAAAAATAAAGCTACTTCAGCTTTGGGAGAATTATCAAGAGGAGTCAAATATGGTTGCAGCTGAAAAAGTTACAAATCAGGTATTGGCTTCACTTATGTTCAAAAAATAATGTTTGTAAAATTTTTGCTATTTAATCTGACAATATGCGCATATATTTTGAGTTTGACTATACCTTTCAAATTAATGTAGGTCAAACAGTTCTCCATATACAGTCTTGGATGAAAGGTCTCTATTAAAGTTGATAAAAAGCAATTGGAAAAATTAATTGTGCGAGAGCTTTTAAGGTAACGACAACATCAGTATGATAATGTGTTTGCGGCATTTTATACGAATAATTTCAATATGTTACATTTGCTAATAGTTATTGTAATCTTTTTGTAGAAATCCTATCATATCTGATAGAGCAAGTATATGCAGCAAAGACAATATGGACATATATGTGGTAGTTGCATCAAGTATTATGAAGTTTGCTACTATGCTCCATATATTCATATTTGTAAATTTACAAATTAATTTTAGATTTTATAAATTTGTCAAACAATCAACTTATAAGGAAGTGAGATATTTTTTCTCAGTTTTATAGGCAACGAATGATACAAAAATTGAAAGCTTACAAATATATGTACAACATTGTTACAAGGTAATCTACTTATAGGTTTGTATGTATAACTAAAGTTACGTATTTCATTTTCGGTCAATTCCATCTTATTTTTTGTAGTTTAATATTGTCATAGATCTATGGCAAAAATTGCATCAAAACAATTTGAAGAGATCATTGAACGTGACATTTGATATGAACGATGTCAATCTATGTCAATATGTAAGTTTTTAATTTTTAGATTTTGTTTATAAAAAATTAACACAATAATTACCTTCTGTGTCTTTATACATAATAAGCCAATTATAAAACCAAATTTATGTATAATTATGCCTCATTGTAAGAACGTAAAATTTAATTTCAATCAATTTATACTAATACCAATCTTACGATAAATATATCTATATACTTTTCTTTTTCTTTTTTTTGCAGAATTTACAAGATCTCCGATCTTATGTTACTAAGTTTAGATTTTATATGAATTTTTATTGTACAGTTTTTTAGTTAAGATTAGTAAATATTTCAATTTTTAAAAGACGTGTACATATTGTAATGTGCATAAATATTCTATTTATCAAATACGTTAATATCAAATGTTACATTGTACATAATTATTCATATGGTTTATATGTATATTATTAGAAAAAATTGAATCAAAATCATATTATAATTTTAAACAAATTTGCACACGCACCGAGTGCCCGGCCGCTAGTATGTATATATATAAACAGAAATATTTTGCCATACGTGAATATGCATTAGAAAGTCGTCCTGCATGCCTTGAGAAAAAGAGATTGAATGTCTGACAATGTCGAGTTGCTATATAAACTCCTTATATACATTTTAGAATTCATGTAACTAATGAGAGGCGGCAATATGAACAGCAGCAACAGTCGACACCATAGAGTCCACTCCACAAAGAATGAGAGAAGACTTCAGTTTGTATTAAGATAAAACTCTTAGAGGGTTTATCCTAATCTTACTGGGAGTCCAAGATTAACAGTAATCCTGAGTCCATAGAAGTTAGGCTTCTATTGGTACTAGGTTTATGTTGGCTATAAAAGAGAGGCACCCCCATGGGTCTAAGGTATGCTTTAAGGCTCAAGCTTGTGAGTTGAATAATTGATTATCTTTGAGAGATATACTGACTTGATCGTCGGAGTGCCCCCGGGTGGACGAACCACCGCGGGATTCTTATATTTCTGTTGCAGGTCAGTTAGGTGCCATCTATTCTGCCAGTGCTCTCCAGCTGAATTACTGAGTTGGCAGTGTGGTCGGAAAATTTTCCACACAATTTGGCGCTGTCTGTGGGAAAGAAAGAAGAATAGATGGCCAATGACGGACAGAAGGATCAGACTGGAGACAACGCTCTTGCTGGGAATGGGAGATCTATCAACCTTGACGTTGAAGGGGACAATAACAACACAGAAACTCGTGACCAGAGTCACGGAGTGAAAGACGCCGGCCAGGAAGGTGACGCACCAAAGACAACAGATCGAAGCGGATACTACAACGAAGATGACCTCCAGGTATGGAGGAATAGATACCTGCGGAGGAACGAAGACCCTTCCAGAAGGGATGCAAAGACAGGGGGCATGAGCGCTCCCAAGGAGATAACATTCAAGTATAGAAGAACTCATCCTGAGTGAGCAGATCCCGAATTCCAGATCCTGGATCCTAGATCCAAGAAGACATGATCTCAGCCTAGACAAGTAGGCCTGAGAAAACGAGAGCTCAACCTAAGTGAGCAGATCCCGGATTCCAGATCTCGGATCCTAGAAGACATGATCTCGGCCTAGATGAGTAGGTCCGAGAAGAGAAGAGCTCAACCTGAGTGAACAGATCCAAGATTCTAGCAGACAAGATCTCGGCACTTAAGTCCGAAAAGAGAAGAGCTCAGTGAGTAAATCTCAGATCCCAGAAGATAAAAAAGAAAACACATAAGGTTGGACTGCAGTTAGCCAGGTTAAAGACCTTTTATAAGGTTCGCAAAAGAGTATGTGGAAGCCATGCAGGGGGCAGAGAGAAGAAGAATATGTTTTGGTTAAAATTAAACTATAGACTAAGATCCATGCAAACTTATAACAAGAGTTGTCTACTTTCAGAGGCCATAGTAGGGGGTAGGTTGACAATTTATTAAATTATAATTTTTTTTAATTTTTTTTTTTTGTGTGGATTTGTTGGATACCAAGTTATAAAATAAATAAATAAAAGATTCTATTTTCAATTTATACTATAGTGCCTTTAGAAAAGAAATCTAACACAAACTTGTAAAATTCAAGTCTAACAACATAGACAAATTTTGGGAGAAATGCTAAAAAGAGAGAAAAAGAACAAAAAATTAGAAGTAAGCAATGTTATTGTTATATTGGTCACCCAAGACGGAAAAAATGTTGTGTTGCCCTTAAAGAAGTGTTGCATCCATTGGAGGCAAACCAGTGTGAAGAAATAAGCAAATATTAAGGATGTATTTCAGATTAGAATCAATTGATTTACTCACTGTTAATAGCATGTATTTTTAATTGATAACTATATATATATAGGGTTCGTTTGGAAAGTGGGTTGGTTTTTTAGCTTTTTGACTATTTTAGCTTGAGGCTAAAAAGCCTCGTTTGGGAAGGGCTTCTTGGTTTTTTTGGCTTTTGTTGAGAGAAAGAATGTAATAATTATGGGTTGAATGTGACGTTTTGTCTTATTAGATTAAAAAGCCTATTTTGTGTTTTTGTAACTAAAATAGCTTTAAACCCAACCCAACCGAAGCCATATACATATATAACCAAAAAAATCTCAACTTGTGTTAATGTGACTGGCTTTTTTAAAATTATAAATCATCGTAAAAAGGTGTTTTAGATGAAAATAAAATGAAGATAAAAGGGTCACATTTTAGTGTATAATTTTTTTATATACAATATTTATATTTGAATATCATTGCCCTTGTATTTTGTTTAATTCATTGGAATGAAATAGAATGCTCATTTCTTAGTATTCCTACAAAATTACCATCCACTTAACATGGTAAATAATATTTTATTTGTAATATATTTTTTAATTGAGCTAAACATGAAAGTGGACATTCTAGTATAATGATAATTTTATTCAACATTCATTCCAATGAACTAAACACTATTAAGAAAAGAAAAAAAAAATCATTTAATTTACATACCTCGGTCGGTCCTCAGTATTAATTGTATAATTTTTTTATATAAATTTTTTATTTGTATATCATTGTCCTTGTATTATGTTTAATTCACGGGAATTAATGAAATGATCATTTCTTAGCCTTCTTACAAAATTACCATCCACTTACCATGATAAATAATGATTCTATTTGTAATATATTTTTTATTATTTTTTAATTGAATCAAACATGAAAATAAACATTATAATATAATGATAATTTTATTTCACATTTATTTCAATGAACCAAATACTATTAAAAAAAAAGAAGAAGCATTTGATTTACATATCTCCATCGCTCCTCAATATTAATCACTAGGGTATGCCCGTACCTGAAGGCACGGTGAAAATATTGTTGGAATGAAAATGTAATTGAATATAAAATTATTGGGTTAAAATGTGATCTATTCAATTTGTTGGAAAAAAAAAATTGAGGTAAAAATATAAATAGATGATCCGTATGGTTTGGATCTTCAAATGAATTTCATAATTAGATTTTTTAAAAGAGTTTGTCAAACTTAAAATTTTGTTTGGTTGTATCTATTAAAATTAATTTTTACATATTTAAAATTCAAAACTTACTTTGTTTTGAAATTTCCAAAAATAGTTTTTAAAATTTTAATTTGTATTTTGTTATTTTTAGTGAACTTTTTAATATTTTAATCAATATTTTTCACTTTTCAGATCCACTCAATTTAAATATTTTGCATTATAAAATTTAGAGAGATGGAGAAATTAAAAAAAGTAGACCCTCCTTGCTATAAACTTAACGATAAACTTATAAAAACTGTCCAATTGAATTTAACAATAAGTTTTGCTATAAATTTTTATTTTTAACAATAAGCAAGTATTAATAACAACATTGTGATTGATATAGTATTTGAACTCAAATTCTCAATGCAAAAATCGTTGCGCTTTTGTTTGTCGAATAGAAATTTAAAGGGCAAAAAATGGTATGGTCCATGATTAGTACTGGTAGAAGCAATGTGATGGAAATTGCTATAATTCATCAAGAAAATATGAAAATAGTGATGACACAATTATTACCTTGGCCAAGAAAACATGAAAATAGTAATGACACAAATGCAAAGAAAGACCATATCACCAAATATTTACTATTGTAGTATTTTTGTTTATGTAACCCACTTGCAATTTGCAATAGAAAATAAGCATTTTATTATCCTGGTCAATAACAGTACCCAAATAAATTTCTATATTCCACATTTTTTTAGATGGTGAGTTTTGGTTGAAATAAAGAAGAGAGATCTCATAGTTATAATTTTGCATCAATTTTAATCTAATGATTGAAATCTACCAATTTTTATGGTTTGGTGGTCAATTTATTGTGTAGAAAATTAAATAAATGAAAAATAAATAAATTGTATGCTACTTGGTGAATAAATCAATTTAAACATAAAGTTTCCAAATTTATAGGTAAACAAAATAGTGAAAAGTAAACACATAAATGTTACGTAAAATTCAAGCACAACAAAAGTATAAGATTTTAAACAAACAACAAAATGTAAGTCCCACAACACATATAACGATTCTGGTTTTGACCCGTTATCTATTGTATCCTAGACTCAGGTTGGCATGATTTAGAATAGTTATTCATATCTTGTTTCCCTTGCTTCCCCCATATTTTGGATATCGGGTTGTAGTTGTACGTTTGGAACAGGTTGGTTGCTTGATTTTTTCCAAACCTTGTTGCCCATATATTGGCTCCTTCGCTCGAGCAGACTTCACAAATTTTGTTCCTCTGCTTGAGCGGCCATTTTTGCGCTCGAGCAGGATACGTCAACTTTCAGTATTTTTGCAGTTCTGCAAATACTAGGAGGGTGCATTAGACGCTCGAGCTTCCATTCTCACGCTCGAGCGAGGTCCTTCGTCTGCAAAACTTCTGGAAATGTGTATTCTACACTCGAGCTTCGCTTCTTGCGATCGAACAGACCTTTGTGTCTGACACTCAAGTGTCACTTTCCCCGCTCAAGCGGACTGCGTGTATATCAGTCCGGGA